CTGGAATCTCTCTTTGGAAAATGCAGCAGCTGAGGCTTGTATTTCTGGAGCTGGAACTAGTCTCTCTGACATCAAATAGGTTTATTTTTCCCTCCTCTTTCCTTCCCCCTGCCTGCCACCACTAACGGTGATTTCTACCCTGGTTTGTCCCCCAAAAGCCCTCACTCAGCTTGACACAGGGCTGTGATAAATGCCTGGCTGTGCTCCCTGTTCAACGGCCTTGAAGGATGTGGTCGGTTGTTCCCTGAGCAAGGAGCCTTGTCAGACCCGTGAATCACTCCTCGATCACTTCCCTTCCTAGAGAAGAAACTGTTCCTGTGCTTGTGCATGTGTAAGAGAGAGACAGAGAGAGCAGGCAAGAGTGCTAACCCACGTGTGGTGCTGACCTTGGGGCAGGGATCCTATTTGACCTTACCCTTACCCAGAGCAACCTCTCCTTCTCTCCTAACCTCTGTTCCTTCCCAGCTTACCAGGAAGTCACCACCAGAGCCCAATGCTTAGCTCCAGGAACCCCTCCAGGTTGGAACAGCTGCTCTGTGTTTATCTGTTCCTCTTGGAGGTTGGGTGTTTTCCATGGGGCGTGGAGCCCACTTCCCCAACAGACTGTGAACAGCTGGGCCGTCCTTTTTGCCTCAGTCTTTCCTTTTCTCTCAGATTCACCAATTGGGTCGGAAATCACCTGCAGTGCTTTGGTGATCAGGAACAGCAGATGGCAATGAACATACGGTGCATACCCATGGTGGGGTCAGGCACTTAGTAGATGCTTTACCCAAAATTAACTCAAGCCAGGTTCCCAAAAGCCTTGTGAAGTTACAGGTAAGGAAACAAGCTCAGAGTGACAGCCCAAGGTCACACAGCTAGGAAGTGGGATAGGCAGGATTTGAGCATGATCTACCCAGCACCACACTCATTCCATAATGGAACTGGCCCTTGTCAGGCCGTGGCTGCACATTCTAATTCCTGTGGGGCTGGAGTCACAATCTAAGGGCTGAGAAAAAAAGAAAGGCAGAGAAATGAATGAGTTTGGGGCCAATTCCTAAGCATATAGCTCCCAGGACCAAGACTAAAATCTGAGATGATTTCAACAGAGGAAGAATGTATTATTTCCACCGGGTCAACCCTTAACTTATTATCCCAAGCACTACTGGAGACCAGATACCAGCCTGAAGTTGCTCAACTCCTCCTGCCTCACAGTGACCAGCCTGTGTTGCCCACCACGAACTCACCTGCATGGCACATGATAGATGTCTACACAGCGAGGCAGTCCTAAATAGCAGCCTGCACTACTCTGTCACCATTGTACAGGGCTGAGCCTGGCCTTCCTGCCCAGATTCTAATTGAGCAGAAGGGCCCCACCTCATATCTGCACCCTCCTTTGGAGCTAACCTGACTGCATTGCCCAGATCTGCCCTGTGCTAACTGTGAGACCCTAAGCAAGCTGATGAATTGCTCCAAGTCTCAGTTCATCTGTAAAAAGGAAGCCCAAAACCTACCCCACATTAGGGTACATTCAATGACCCGCAGGAATCACAGGAAAACACCAGTGTTACTTATCTGCAACCCCTAAAGAGTCCTGCAGAGAATCGGAACATTCATGATTGGTATTTGTCTGAAATAAACAAATCAGAAAATAAAAGAACCGTGAAAGTGCAATATTCCCAAATCCAAATAGATAGAATTTCTTGTTTGTTTTAGATAAATGAGCTTTACTCCACCACCGTATGAATTGATAAATACCTATACCTGCCTGTAAGCACAAAGAATCAGGTGGACCTGAAACTCAAATCTTTACTGGAAAACCTTCAAATGAAGGAATCTGCATTCTACATCCAGCATCATCAGGACCATTTTTAAGACAAGTGTCAGAGGCCAAAGCCAGTTTACCTAGGATCTCCCCAGCACAGGTCAGAAAGCCAGGAAAGGAACCTAGCTTTGGGCCAGGGAACCTGACTTAAGTAGTAGCTGCCTGCCCTTCTCAACCCCACCCCAAGCAGGGGCTGGGCAGAGAGGAAGGAAGGCAGGGCTGACAGTGCCATCCCACATGATGGAGGCTACTTTCCTGCCTTCGTGAATAGACCGAAAGCACAGGATCCTTCGTGTCCAGGCAGCTCCCCCTCCCCATGGGGATGAGCAAACCCTTTGCAGGATGTCCTGAGAGAACCTTTGCAGTGTGTTCCCAGCATTCTGGAGCCAGCCGAGCCCCTCCTGCATGGGCCCCAGGACTCTCATCAGCTAGCTCTGGCTAACACGCACATCCCGTAAAACCTCTCTGCTCTGCAATTTACCAAACCACAGACTCAGAATTCACCATCAGCGGAGAGAGGCTGAAGAAGACGTGCTCCTCCAGTGTAGAGGGTTTCCAGAACACAGGCAAAGGGGGCAGCATGTCCTGCCAGCTGGCCACACCAGAGGCCTTACCCAGAACACTCGAGCTTCTGGAGTGTGGTGTCAACCGTGCACGGGCCAGGAGAGGAAGAGGCCACAGCCTCCCCCAATCTGCTCCTCCTGCCTCTGTCTGTCCCACCAGGCCCTTTCTATTGCTTTCTTTCCCCTTTCTATTATTGGAGATGCTTATGTTATATATTAATATATATACAATTCCCCAAATGGGTAGAACTTTTCCACCACCAGATATTTGTCCTCTTAGCCAACACCATCCAGACTTAGGATACATGCAATGAAAAAAACCGACAGAGAAGGCGAAAGGCCAGTTAAACCGAGTGCTGTGAATAGCTGTGTTGCAAGTTACTTTACCCCATCTGGCTCTCATTCCTCATCTGTAAAATGAAGGAGTTGAGCCAGATGAGTCTTCGGGTTTCTGCCCATTCCACAGTTCCACAACATACAACACTTTCTCCTTTTAGTGTTTTCCAGAACCCGAGTTCAGAACTCTGTATGGCCCCATCTGTTCAGTGACATCACTCCCTGCCCCAAACATAATGTCATCAATTCTAACTCGGGAATCGGAGATGGCCCGGGAAACACTTTGTCTGTAAAAAGGGAGGAAAAGATCGTTTCGAGGAAACTGCACAGGACTTCTTTTGTGTTTTTCACATAGAACAAATTATTATCAATCTTAACACCCAAAATCTTTCTTCCTTTTTTGCCAGACCATTAATAGCTGCTTTTCAAAAATACTTTCATAGTCAGTATCTCACCAATAATAAGCTACCATTTAATATAAGTGCTTACTGTGTGCCAGGAACTGGGCTAAGTGCTCTACATAGATGATCTCATTTAACTCTCCCGACAGCCCTAGGAAGTACATACTATTATTATCCTTACTTGAAATTGAGTAAACTGAGGCCCAGGGGGGTTTAAATAACTTGCCCAGGGTTGCACAGCTAGTTAGTGGCCCGCACCAGGCTTTCAGCAAGACCATCTAACTTGAGAGCCCCAGCACGTAACCTTACCTTTCAAAACTGTCTGCAGTGGGTCCCGGTTCTAGTTTGTTACAGGTGCGTCCTGCATCTGAACCCTTGGGTACCACTGGTAGGAACTGAAATGTGATGTTTCATCTAAAATCCAGAGTTGGAAACACGCCTGCTTGGGTCTCAGAGCAGAGAGTGCCATCTGTTGAATGCAGTGCCAAGCTCAACCAAAGACTAAAACTGAGAATCCCTAAAACTTGGCCTGAAACCTTTGAGAAAAACAAACCCCTGTATGTACAAACGGACATCTGTCCACAGAGCAGGTTGACCACCTGGTGACCCAAGCCCTCCAAAAAGAGCTTTCTTGTAACAGCAGCAGAAGATGCTTGCTTGACCAGATGACACAAAAGAAACAACTCTCTAAGGGTGTCACAGACTGTTCCCAACAGGCACCCACCTCCCTGCCTGGTCAGCAACCTGCCTCCACATTTACCTCCTCCCCCTCTGAGCCCCACCACATTTTCTCAGCTATAAAAAACTACTGGTGACAAAGGCAGAAAGAGTAGCCCGAGGCTGACATTGCCACAGTCCCCAATACCTTTGCAACAGTGGAATAAAAGGCACTTCAGAGATCAATGGGCAATCCCGGGCAGCAACCAGCAGCCTGTTTTAATTGTTAACATTAATGCTTTGAGCATTGGAACTGCTCTTCTAAATACCTAATTTGCAAACAACATGCAGTCCTCTGTGCTTGGGTCTCTTCTATCTCAAGTACAGGAGCACAGACGCTCCAAGGGGTCAAGGACACCGTGTTTACTTCCTGAGGTGTGAGGGATGGGAAGGCAGGACCAGCTGAGATGAAGAGGGACTGTCCCATAGGCTCTGGAGCTGGCCCAGTCAACCTTAACCCCTTCTCATTAAGTTTAGGGGAGGAAAGGGGAGGGGCAGTCGGCGGTTCCTCGGAGACCACAGAAAACATTCGCCTCCTCGTGTCTGGAGATGGAGCATCACTTAGAGGAAATGAACCTGGTTAAGGGTCACATCCAGTGGAGGAATAAAAGGAAAAGCCACTGTTCTCCTCACACCGACGGACACAATGGCTTTAAGAGGGAAATCAAAGCTCAGCGCAGAGGGTGGAGGTTGGGCTGGGGGGCGTTGGCTTCCTTCTGTCCCCAGCCCCAGGCCTAGGAAAGCAGAAGCAGAGCTGGCCTGGGAGGCAGGGCGAGAGGCTTCCCTCCCCAGGGCAAGCTCTGGAAGCATCTCGGGCTGTGTGAGCTTGAGCTCCCAGGGCCCCAGGGGAGGGCCGAGGAGATGCGCTTTCCCGACGGGGCTACTCCGCGAGGGGTTGACGGAAGCTCCCCCCACCATCCATCAAAGGCGGACAGATGACTTCACCGTTTTAACAGACAAGGGCAGCCACTTGCCAATTCCAATGCCAAAAAAAGAAACCCGGGAGAGGGAAGGAGGAAGCACAGAATAGGCTTCCCTGGAGATCACAGCCCTGCGAAGAAACTCCACGGCCGCGCGCTACCCCGTGGGCGCTTAGCTCCGGGACCTCATGGCGAGGAGGGGAGAGGGGCCTCCCGAGACCTGGGGCCACCCCGCAGAGTCCGCGGAGACTGTACTCACATAGTGCTTGGAGGGGTTCCTCCGCTTCTCCACGTCCACCACGGTGGCATCCTGCACGCAGTAGGCGAGCATCTTCCCCCACAAAGCGAGTGGCGCCCCCGGCGGCGTCACCTTCTCATCCCGGCCGGGCTCCGGCTCCTTCTGCAGCTGCCCGGGTCCCGGGGCCGCCCGCCACCCCGGCCCGGCGCGCCGACTGCTGCCCGGACTCCCGGCGCCCACAGGTCCGGTCCCGGGGACGGGGGAGGGTCCCCGAGGGCGCTCTGGCTCCGTGCGCCCAGGGCAGCTCCCCGCCGGCCTGCCTCGCGCCCCTTCCCTCCCGCGCGGCCGCCGCGCTTCGCTCACCCGCTCGCTCTCTCCGCCGCCCGGTGGGTACGGCGGGAACTGGCGGAGCAGAGGAGGGGCGGGGGTGTGTCCCGCCGGCGAGGGGACGGGGCGGGGGCCCGGAGCCTGCAGTCAGCGCGCTGGGGAGGGGCCGGCGGCGCCCCTTCACCGCTCTCCAGCTTGGGCTCCGGGGGGATCGGCGCTGGCGGAGGCTGTGGGCGCAGGAGGCGGAGGCAGGGCCTGCCTGGCAGGGAAGGGAAGCGCGCGGGGAGGGGCTCCGGGCCGGGGGAGGGGCTCGGAGGAGGGGGCTGCAGCCCGGCCCCAGTGGCAGGGGCGGGCCGACGAGACCCCCACCGCAGCCCAGCCAGCCAGCGGCCTGGCGCGGCGCTGGGCTAGTTCGCCGGGCACAAAAACTCAGGGTGGCTTCGCGGGGAGAAGGAACGGGGAAAGTGAGCCTAGCTCGCCCCCAGCCTGGCTTTCCGCCTCGGAGCGGATTTGTGCCTTTTTGTCCCCACCTTTATGTGGGGACAAAAGATCTGCCCCTACCACTTCCACCGGCAGATCTCTTTAATGAGAAGCAGTTTATTACCCGGCTGTTACTGCCCAGGACCCCGAAGAGGAGATGGGAATGGGGAATGGGCCAGCTTTAAATCCTTCAAGCCAGAGCCTGTTTGGACGAACCACCTGACCCCCTGGAGGTCATAAAGGGTGAACTCTCCCCGGAAATGTGATTGATTCGTTGCCCCAGTCGTCCATCGATCTGGGCTTGTGTAACAAACCTGTGACATCATTTAGCAATGACAAAGTTACAAACTCTGCATAACACTACTGCCTTAAGCTTCGGGCTCCCCTGAGGACCCTCCCCAGGCTAGTGACAGTGAAGGCCGCATACAAAGGCAGGAAAACCCACCGGCTGGAGGCCAGCTCACCAGGAGCCTCAGGCTGTGCCATTCTCACCCCTCCCTCTAATCTGGAAAACCCACTTTCCAAGCCACTTGTCCGTGGTCCCTGGACTTGGAGCACAGCTACTAAATTCAATTTAGCTTCACCCCCTTCTAGTTCAACATGTCTTTTCCATTCTGCTTTCAAATATTTAAAGGGGTAGTGTTTTCACAACTAATCCAGTTGTTTCACAATCATAATAAAGCTTCGTGACTGTGGACCAATGTGAAACATCTGAAATAAGGACAAATAATTTTATGACCTAATTGCATTAATACTTTCCTCTGTGGGCTCTCTAGACTGTCAGAACCCAAGCACCGATCTAAGGCCTTATTTATTCACACACTTGCTCCGTATAGAGCACCCCACTATTCCTCCAGCCTCCTTGGGAAAGGACGCTAGGACACCAAACCATGGCAGAGGACAAAGGAAAAAAAAAAAGGTGGATGGGCCTGGCGGGGGGCAGACTGTGAGAGATCTTGGCACCAGGCACAGAGCTTCTTAGAGAAGATCAAAAACCGTTGTGAACATCGGAGCAGGAGTCCTGGGGGAAGGTGCACCTGGTAATGTTGCTCAGTTGATGGGAAAATGGGGGGACAGGGCAATACCTCCATGAGCAAGGCTTATTTCCCAAAAGGATGAGTGGTAGACCCAGAACAGGCCTTCCGCTCTGAGCTGTAGAATCTGGGAGGGTGCTGGCCAGCTCCAGGTCCTCTCTGATAATGGATCAAGACAGTCCATGAGTTTGGGATGAAGAGATTCATCATTGCTCTCAGGTAACTCATCTTCTGTGGATGGCAAAGTCTTCTGGAAGAGCTAAGAAAGCCTGAGAAGCCACTGGTGAGGGGAGCTGGTGTTTAGCTGTTGTAGCAGGAAGAAGAGGAGGGGGTTTAGCTAGACTTGGGTCCCCTTGTGAATCAAAGCAGCCAGCTCACCTAAAACAGCACTAGTGGTTTCCCTATTACCCTTCTTCTGGACCCAGATCCACAATGAACACACCAAGCACAAGAAATTTGTAGGAGAGATGGCCCAATGCTTCCCCACTGTCCTTGCGGCCTACAAGGTGGTAGCCTTTTTACTGCCTAAAAAACTCCCTGCAACTTGATATCTTATAAATTCAAGCCTTTAAGCTCAACTTGAGCGTACTCTGAACTTCTCCCTTTGTTCCCGAATTACCTCAATTAGAGGGAGCAACTGAGTGTGCCCCCCAAACCCCATGGTGCCAAGATCTGGGCAGAAGTTATTTCTACCTGTGGTAGAAAATCTTCTTTTCTGTACTGGGGCTGTATGTCCAAGAGGCTTGAAGTATGAAATGGTGCAGGCTATCCCTTCTCTGGGTACATTTCAATCACGTGCAGATTTATTTCCCACAGTGCCTTGGGAATTCCTTTCTGTTCAATACACATTTATTGAATGCCTAACATGTGCCTGGCAATCCCCCCAAAATGACAGAGACTGGGGTGTGTTTCCTTGGAAACAGGGACTCTTCATCATTCATTAAATACCCTGACTATGTGTGGCACACAGTAGGTATATGGGATGGACTCTTGAAATCTGCTCAAAGAGCTAGTGCTAGAGAGGATTAGGTAAACCCCTATTTTGCCACCTCCACCCATGAACTGGGGATCACTCCAACCCAAGGATATTGTGTGAGTTAAGAATGACAAAATATAATTGCAAAAAATTTTTTTATTTTTTATTGCACTTTAGGTTCTGCGGCACATGTGCAGATCGTGCAGGATTGTTGCATAGGTACATACATGGCAAGGTGGTTTGCTGCCTCCATCCCCTCATCACCTATATCTGACATTTCTCCCCATGTTATTCCTCCCCAACCTCCTCACCCCTGCAAAAAAAAAAAAAAATTAAGTTTAGGATAAGCAAGAGAAAAAGAAGCCACATGAAATGCAAAATGATACCTGAAAATCTGATTTTTCAAAAACAGGTTAATTGTAGTATGCTTAGAATCAAAGAATTTTCCAACTAGCAGGGACAAGAGAGGTTATTTATTCCTCTTATTTTATAGAGAAACAAACCAAGGCCAAGAAAAATGAAGCAAGTTGCTTGATGCCACATAGCCAGTTAGTCCGAGACCGGCTGTCTCTCCCCTCTACCATGTTTATGTGCCTACACGTGGGCAAGAAGAGCTCCTTTAGAGAGCACACTTAGCATCCCAGACCGGCTGTCTCTCCCCTCTACCATGTTTATGTGCCTACACGTGGGCAAGAAGAGCTCCTTTAGAGAGCACACTTAGCATCCCAGACCGGCTGTCTCTCCCCTCTACCATGTTTATGTGCCTACACGTGGGCAAGAAGAGCTCCTTTAGAGAGCACACTTAGCATCCCAGACCGGCTGTCTCTCCCCTCTACCATGTTTATGTGCCTACACGTGGGCAAGAAGAGCTCCTTTAGAGAGCACACTTAGCATCCCAGACCGGCTGTCTCTCCCCTCTACCATGTTTATGTGCCTATATGTGGGCAAGAAGAGCTCCTTTAGAGAGCACACTTAGCATCCCAGACCGGCTGTCTCTCCCCTCTACCATGTTTATGTGCCTATACGTGGGCAAGAAGAGCTCCTTTAGAGAGCACACTTAGCATCCCAGACCGGCTGTCTCTCCCCTCTACCATGTTTATGTGCCTACACGTGGGCAAGAAGAGCTCCTTTAGAGAGCACACTTAGCATCCCAGACCGGCTGTCTCTCCCCTCTACCATGTTTATGTGCCTACACGTGGGCAAGAAGAGCTCCTTTAGAGAGCACACTTAGCATCCCAGACCGGCTGTCTCTCCCCTCTACCATGTTTATGTGCCTATATGTGGGCAAGAAGAGCTCCTTTAGAGAGCACACTTAGCATCCCAGACCGGCTGTCTCTCCCCTCTACCATGTTTATGTGCCTACACGTGGGCAAGAAGAGCTCCTTTAGAGAGCACACTTAGCATCCCAGACCGGCTGTCTCTCCCCTCTACCATGTTTATGTGCCTACACGTGGGCAAGAAGAGCTCCTTTAGAGAGCACACTTAGCATCCCAGACCGGCTGTCTCTCCCCTCTACCATGTTTATGTGCCTACACGTGGGCAAGAAGAGCTCCTTTAGAGAGCACACTTAGCATCCCAGACCGGCTGTCTCTCCCCTCTACCATGTTTATGTGCCTACACGTGGGCAAGAAGAGCTCCTTTAGAGAGCACACTTAGCATCCCAGACCGGCTGTCTCTCCCCTCTACCATGTTTATGTGCCTATATGTGGGCAAGAAGAGCTCCTTTAGAGAGCACACTTAGCATCCCAGACCGGCTGTCTCTCCCCTCTACCATGTTTATGATGTGCCTACACGTGGGCAAGAAGAGCTCCTTTAGAGAGCACACTTAGCATCCCAGACCGGCTGTCTCTCCCCTCTACCATGTTTATGTGCCTATATGTGGGCAAGAAGAGCTCCTTTAGAGAGCACACTTAGCATCCCAGACCGGCTGTCTCTCCCCTCTACCATGTTTATGATGTGCCTACACGTGGGCAAGAAGAGCTCCTTTAGAGAGCACACTTAGCATCCCAGACCGGCTGTCTCTCCCCTCTACCATGTTTATGTGCCTATATGTGGGCAAGAAGAGCTCCTTTAGAGAGCACACTTAGCATCCCAGACCGGCTGTCTCTCCCCTCTACCATGTTTATGTGCCTACACGTGGGCAAGAAGAGCTCCTTTAGAGAGCACACTTAGCATCCCAGACCGGCTGTCTCTCCCCTCTACCATGTTTATGTGCCTACACGTGGGCAAGAAGAGCTCCTTTAGAGAGCACACTTAGCATCCCAGACCGGCTGTCTCTCCCCTCTACCATGTTTATGTGCCTATATGTGGGCAAGAAGAGCTCCTTTAGAGAGCACACTTAGCATCCCAGACCGGCTGTCTCTCCCCTCTACCATGTTTATGTGCCTATATGTGGGCAAGAAGAGCTCCTTTAGAGAGCACACTTAGCATCCCAGACCGGCTGTCTCTCCCCTCTACCATGTTTATGTGCCTACACGTGGGCAAGAAGAGCTCCTTTAGAGAGCACACTTAGCATCCCAGACCGGCTGTCTCTCCCCTCTACCATGTTTATGTGCCT